GTGATAAATTATATAATAGTGGTATATATAAAGAATAATATAATACACATCTATAAAGAATGTTTATGGTATATTTTGTTTATTTACATATTATGATGTGTGTGTGTGTATATATGAGTGTGTGGTATAAAATACATATAATATACATGACATATTGATGGAATATTTATATTATAAATTATCACAATATAATATCCTTGAAATGTAATAAAGGTATATTATGAGTAAAAATAAAATTCTACAACAAAAATTTTAAAACTTAAAGAAAAAAAATACTAAAATTCCCATTGTGCAACCTCGTTAAAGAGGGGATTATTTTTTAGATATTCTTTTTTCAGAATCTTTGATATATTTGTGTAAGTGTTATTTATGGAGGAGGAGAAAAAAATTATGGAAGAGAGAGGGAAAAGGAAATGTAATAAAAGTGTATTGATGTACAGGGATCCCTTAGTTAATGAGTTACCAGCGTGAAAGTGCTAAAGAAGTAAAAAAATATGCCAGTTTTGAGAATAGTTTTTAAAAAAGGAGCAACCATGTAAAAATCTCCATAAATTTGATCCAAAAAAAAATGGCCAATAAAATTACCGAACTAATGATACTCCCACATCGGGTATTAATTAGGGGCGAAGCTACATTTACTTAAGGATGGTCAATTGACTACCCTTCGTGAAAAAATTATAATGTATATATAATTAAAATATTAAGTTTTAGAGGTAAATAATATATATTGAACACTTTTTGTTGGTAATTGTTTTTACTTCTTTCAAGTTTGAACACTTTTGGAGAAATTCTTGATTTCGCCACCAATATTAATTAGGAAGTTTTGTGGTTTAAAAATGGGTTAGAGTGAGAAGTGTCCACAGGGATGAGATGGCTTGCAACACATGTTGTGTCAAACCCTATATACCTAAATCCATGCAAGTTTCTTGTTTCTCTTGATTTGAGTGTTAGTAATTTGATTGGCCCATTTTCTCAAGGTTCTATTAACTTAACCTCTCTCACGACCTTCAAGGTAGGTGACAACTCTTTCAACTATCTTTTACCCATATGGTTATTTGATCCCAATAATCTTGAATAACTTGACACTTCTTCTTAGTGGTATTGAAGGTGCGATGCCAGGTAAGGCTGAAAACGTAACAAAACTTAAAAATATTGATCTTGCATTCAACAATCTCAACTTTACCATCCCAAATTGGTTATATCAATGCAAATATTTGGAATAACTTAGGCTTGGTGGAAACAATATGGACAGAGTAGTTCCTAATGTGATTTCAAATTTGAGCTCAGATAACTATTGTTCTTTTTACAAATTAGGGGTGGGCATAATATCGACCAAATCGAAAAAATCGACAGAACCGAAAATTTCGGTTTATTCGATCGATTTGCGGTTTATAGTTTTAAAATATTCGGTGTTCGATTCGGTGATCGGTTTTAATGGTTCGATTTTTGGTTAAACCGAAAAATCGAATTTTTTTTAGCCTAAGCCTAAAAACGAATTATTGCTGCACTAAGCCCAAAATCGAAATACTATTGGAGCAACTTCGTTTTTGTTTATTTATTTTTTTGTTGTCACTTGGTATAATCTTGGAAAACGAATCAACTTACTATTGCACCAAGTAACACAACGCCTCATAATATAAAACCTGGCTCTTTGTTATTTTACCAAAGAAGCACATTTTCTTGTAAAAAGCACATCCTTTGTTGTAAATAGAGGAAGAAGAGCGACAACTACGAGCTAAGTTTTATTTTTTGGACAGTTTTCATTTGTCATCTAAGTAAAATTGTTGTGGAACAGAATCAGTAGCCATGAAAAGAAAGCAAAATCAAGAAAATTTGTAGAGATCTGTTGTTGGACTTGGAGTTTTTGGTTACCCTTTTTGGCTATTATCTCAACAAGTAATCTATTTTCGTTGTTTCCTACTATTTTTGTCATGGCTTGAAATTGAAAAACCGAACCGATTAAACCGAACCGAACATGAATAAACCGAACCGAACCGAAATTATTATGATTCGATTTTGGTTATTAAAATCACAAACCGAAAACCGAATAAACCGAATCGAACTTCTAAAAATCGAACCGAACTGACCGATGCCNCCAAAAAACCGAACCGATTAAACCGAACCGAACATGAATAAACCGAACCGAACCGAACCGAACCGAAGTTATTATGATTCGGTTTTGGTTATTAAAATCACAAACCGAAAACCGAATAAACCAAATCGAACTTCTACAAAATCGGACCGAACCGACCGATGCCTACCCCTATTACAAATATGCTTTCTGAAAAAATTACCAGATGTAATTGAAAAGTCATCGAAATTAGATTCGCTTGATCATCTTAGAAAATCATTTGAGGGAGAATTATCTAAACTATTTTACGATAGGAGTAATTTTCTTCTAGCGGGATTGAAAAATATTTTTTCTTTGGTGGATTTGAGACTAGGAAATAATAGACTGACTGAAACTCTCTTAGAAAGTCATGGCCATCCCAATGCTAGAAAGCTTTGATATCTCTAATGATAGGTCGAAAAGTGTTGTAATAAGAATTCATTTCACCAACTGGACACAATTAAGGTATTTTTATGCATCTGATAATAATTTCACTTTAAAAGTGAGCCAAAACTGGTCTATAATAATAGTAATATATATATATATNTGTATAACTTGCCTAAAATAATTAGTGTACTCGTAATAAAGTAATAAATGGGCTTAATATATTGGGTTGTAGTTGTATTTTTTTTTTTGGCTCTGATGCTTCGCTATCTGGTTGGCAAAATTCAATTGTTTTTGAACGACTCGTTCCCTTGAAGCAAAAGTGATCGTGATGCTCTGTATTAACATCTCTGTTCGTATACTCTTTTCAATTTGTGGTTGGAGAATACCGGCGCATCTACATGTTATTATTTTAAATTTATTTATAGAAGTTTTTATTATATATAGTGTTTAAAAATTAAAAGACTATGGCTAGTGGTAGTTGAACTAGTGATTTTGAGCTCTCTTAACTATTGAGCTATACTTTTGAGTTGTGTGAATGTTGTTTCAATATAGATGATACATTTTTTTATTACTTCATTCCGGAATGATACAGTTTTATATTTGGAAATAATGTAACATTAAGTTTTTAATTTTACCTGCTTTAACTTAATGAAAAGTTTTTTTAGGCCACAAAATATTATGGCCCTTAAAACTTTTGCCTTTTAAGTTTTTAAGATCACATGTATCAAAAGTTTCTTTTTTATTTCCTTAAATTTTGTGCCAACTCAAATTATGTCATTTGAATTGAAATGAATATTATATAGACAGCTTCGCCAAATAAGTTAATATATAGTCAGCTTCACATAATTCTGGCTAAGGAATTTTTGGTTCCGCCCTTTCTTACATACATGTAATAATTTGTTACTGACTAATTTTGCTGTGATAGTCTTTGTCCCTGCAGGTAGGTAATTTCTGACTAATTTTGTTATGTAGAAGGAAGAGATGCTAATGTATCTTGAAAATAATGTATAGTTTAGGGTACTCGAGTTACTCTAAAGTTTATTTCTTTGTATTCTTTAATTCCCGAATTCTTATGATGCTTTTCTTAACTGAGGTGGACGTTGGGGAGTTTTTTTAGTATGTTCATCTCTTAGAATTAGATTGTGGTCATTTTCAGTTAATATTTTGTCACTCATTTTCAGTTAAACTGTAGATTTTATGTCACCAATTAATAACGTTGCATTGTCATTCAACCGCATGGTGTTAGAATCTACAGTGAGATAAAAATGTTGAGAGATGAACACGCAAAAGACTACCCAATGCAAGTGTTCATGGAATCGTCATAAATTCGAGCCTTCGAACTGTTTAAAATTTTGTGGGCCCTCAGAAATGCACTAATGAGGAATAGTCAGCTTCGCCAAATAAGTTACTTATTCCCTCGGTTCCAATTGATAGACATATAATATACATATTTATATTTTTTTAAATATATTTGACTAATGAATATAATTATTTCAAGTCAATTATTTAAATGTATAACTTGCCATAGATATTAAAATAGGCGATTTCAAATCTCCCCATTCTTGTTTCTCTTGATTTGAGTGTTAGTAATTTGATTGGCCCATTTTCTCAAGGTTCTATTAACTTAAATTCTCTCACGACCTTCAAGGTAGGTGACAACTCTTTCAACTGTCTTTTACCCAGATGGTTATTTGATCCCAATAATCTTGAATATCTTGACACTTTTTCTTAGTGGTATTGAAGGTGCGATGCCAGGTAAGCCTGAAAACGTAACAAAACTTCAAAATATTGATCTTGCATTCAGCAATCTCAACTCCCACCATCCCAAATTGGTTATATTAATACAAATATTTGGAATAACTTAGGCTTGGTGGAAACAATATGGACAGAGTAGTTCCCAATGCGATTTCAAATTTGAGCTCAGATAACTATTGTTCTTTTTACAAATATGCTTTCTGGAAAATTACCAGATGAAATTGGAAAGTCATCGAAATTAGATTCGCTTGATCATCTTAGAAAATCCATTTGAGGGAGAATTATCTAAACTATTCCATGATAGGAGTAATTTACTTCTAGCGGGATTGAGAAATATTTCTTCTTTGATGGATTTGAGACTATGAAATAATAGACCGACTGAAACTCTATGAGAAAGTCATGGCCATCCCAATGCTAGAAAGTTTTGATATCTCTAACGATAGGTCGAAAAGTATTGTAACAAGAATTCATTTCACCAACTGGACACAATCAAGGCATTTCTATGCATCTGATAATAATTTCACTTTAAAAGTGAGCCAAAATTGGTCTATAATAATTGTAATATATATATATNCAATCAGCTAAATGTGTAACTTGCCCAAAACAATTAGTGTACTCGTATTAAAGTAATAAATGGGCTTAATATAGATGGATCAAGTCTTCTTGCCCATGTCAAAAGCCCACAATATTTCTCCCCAAAACCCTAACCCTTCACTGACCCCATCGTATATAAATACGACCACGAAGCTGCAAGTCTAATAGATTCTCACTCTGATTTCTCCTAAGCCGTAGCCTAGTGTTTCTTCCCCTGCAGTTACTCCTCCGCCACCGCCTACCAATGGTACTCTCCTTAACCATGGTGATACTCTTGTATTTTTGATTTGTTTTAGTTATGATTTGAAAGCTTCTTTATCTGGTTGGCAAAAGATTATCTATTTTTGACCAACTCGTTCCCTAGAAGCTATAGTGTGTGTGTTGCTCCTTTTTATATTCTCCTTCATTAACCCCTTTTTTCATTTGTGTTTGGATTACACTGGGGCAGCTACATTTTTTTAAACAAAATTATATGATAGGGGTGAACAACAGTGATGAGCCATTATACAGACACAGACCTGTAATGATTTGCGAAAATGATCGCAATTTATGAACATCTAAGGGACTGAGTTTGTTCACCTTGTTCTAATTACTCCATATATTTTGAATATACTGCCGTTTAAGATTAATTATCTTTTGAAGTTTTTTAATGAATGAGAATGTGTGGAACAACGATGATGAGCTATTTATACAGACACAGACCTGTAATGATTTGCGAAAATGATCGCAATTTATGAACATCTAAGGGACTGAGTTTGTTCACCTTGTTCTAATTACTCCATATATTTTGAATATACTGCCGTTTAAGATTAATTATCTTTTGAAGTTTTTTAATGAATGAGAATGTGTGGAACAACGATGATGAGCTATTTATACAGACACAGACCTGTAATGATTTGCGAAAATGATCGCAATTTATGAACATCTAAGGGACTGAGTTTTTCCACTCAATTCCAATTTTTTAATCTAAACTGTGCTTTATTTGTTCAATTTTATTCAAAAGTTTGTGACTTTTATTTGAAATATGCTTTGCATATCTATTTATTTATTGGGTCACACATTGCCGTGTGGCACTTTGACAAGTGAAGCTAAAAAGAATGTTCCTCTCGCTATCCTTTGCTCCTTTTATGGTGTATTTGGACGTTGGGGTACTACATTGTTTATGTTCATTTCTCAGAAGTAGGATGGTCTATTTTCCTGTTAATTTCAAAGCATTAATTAGATTGTAGCCAACATAAATATGGTAAAACAATGAAGTAAAATTTGTGATCTATTATCCTACTGAATATTGAAGCTCTTAATTGTGTTTTGTGCCTATTATATTACGGAATATTGTGTTGTAGTATTTTTTTGGCTCCGATGCTTCGCTATCTGGTTGGCAAAATTCAATTATTTTTGACCGACTCGTTCCCTTGAAGCAAAAGTGATCGTGATGCTCTGTATTAATATCTCTGTTCGTATACTCATTTCTATTTGTGTTTGGAGAATACCGGCGCATCTACATGTTATTATTTTAATTTATTTATAGAAGTTTTTTATTATTACTTCATTCTGGAATAATACAGTTTTTAATTTTACATGCTTTAACTTATTGAAAAGTATTTTGGGCCACACAGTATTATTGCACTTAAGGCTTTTGCCTTTTAAGCTTTTAGGATCACATGTATCAAAATAATATATAGTCAGCTTAACATAATTCTGGCTAAGGGATTTTTGGTTCCGCCCTTCCTTACATACATGTAATAATTTGTTAATGACTAATTTTGCTGTGATACTCTGCCCCTGCAGGTAGGTAATGTCTGATTAATTTTGCTCTGTGGAAGGGAGATGCTAATGTATCTTTGTATTGTACGTTGTCCAGTTAGTCTCTGTCCCGAATTCTTATGATGCCTTTCTTAACTGAGTTGGACGTTGTGGGAGCTATATTAGTATGTTCATCTCTTAGAATTAGATGTGAGATTAGATTGTGGTCATTTTCAGTTAAACTGTAGATTTTATGTCACTAATTAATAACGTTGCATTGTCTTTCAATCGCTTGGTGTTAGAATCGATAAGATAGATTTAGAGCGTAAATAAATTAGAGATGAACTGTTTAAAATTTTCTAAGCCTATAGAAATGCACTAATGAGCAATAGTCAGCTTTGCCACATAATGGCTTTTGTGGATGAGTTTGGGTATTGTATTATCGCAGGTCGTGCTACTCCGTTTTTGGGCGTGATAATCCGGGTCTGGTGGCTAGACCCATATGGAAGGGATAGGTTGTAGCATACAAAAACATAAGAATTAGGCAGAATTCAAAATTTATGGTCGTAAAATGCCAAAAATGAGGAAACGGGAGGATACACAAACGATTCGGGTCCCTAAGGCACGGGCTCATGTAGAAGGTGTAGGTTATAGCACATGATACTGTACGAAAAACAGGTGGAATTTTAATTTCATTGCCGTAAAATGTTCAAAAATGAGTAGCGGTAATGGTGGGGCGGTGACAAAGGTTCTTTAGGTAATCGAAATTGTTCGGGGATTGAAAATATAGAAATCAGACAGATTTCTAGTTTTAAGATCGTAAGATGCCCAAATACAAGGGGTGATCTTGGGTGGGGTGGTGGTTACGGTTCCTTAGCTTATTTTTGATCGCTCGGAAAATTTTTAGTCCATTCGGGTTCGGGGGCCCAGGCCCATGCGGAAGGCGTGGGCTATAGCAAACGGTAATCTGAGAATTATGCGGAATGCAAGTTTTATGGTCGTAAAATGTCAACAAATGAGGAACGCTCATGTCGTGGCGGTGACAATAGTATCTTAGGTCGTTTTTGATGGCACGAAAAATTTTTATGCGTTCCAGGTCTGGGGTCTTGACACAAGCAGATTGCGCGACTATACCACATGAAAATATGAGAATCAATGAAATTCTCGTTTTATGGCTATAAAACCTTACAAAATGAGTAACAGTCATATGAGGATGTTGATTAAGGTTCCTAATGACGTTTTTGATGGCCCCCAAAAATTTTCGGCTATTCGGGTTCGTGGGACCAGGCCCATGCGGAAGTCGTTGGCTATAACACATAAAAATAAAAGAATTGAGAGGAATTCTAGTTTGATGGCTGTAAAACACCAAAAAAAAGGAACAGTCATAGCAGGTCTTTTAGACGATCCGGGTTCGGGGGCGCGTGCTCAGGCGGAAGGTGTGGCTATAACACATGAAAATATGAATACCGGGGCAGAATTTTAATTTTATTGCCGTAAAATGCCAAATTTCGAGGAAAGGTTATGGCGGGGCGGTGACTATGGTTCTGTATGTGATGGATCAGAAATATTTTTGTCGATCCAGGTCCGGGGGGGTCGGGCCCATGCGGAAGGCATGGGCGCACACGAAAATCTGGAAATCAGAAGAAAGCCTATAATTTTTTTAGGCCATCAAAAATGATGTGAGGAACCATACTCACCACCCCACCATGGGCCCGACCATGCGGAAGGCATGATTTCCATGAATGTACGAAACATTAAACTAAATAGCATATAGGACATGCTGAAAAAAATAGTAAGTAGACCACGTAGACCATATAGGCATGTTTTCTACCCGTTCATGCAAGTATTAGAGTACCCAGATTTCCCAATTCACTAATTCCGCAATTGTTTTGTTTACAAATTATTACAGAATAGGATAATGAATACAATTACAAACATTACATAAAGAATAACTACAGGCCTAGAAACATGCGCA